TCGACATCCCCACCCCGATACATTCTTCAGTGGTCCAAACTGGAAAAAATGTTTCCTGTTTTTTCTAATCCGTGAATTTGAGAATTGCCGATTTAAAACTCAGAGGGTAGTGCCAGAAAATAATAAAAATGAAATAAAAAAGCGAATTATTTAATAAACCGTCAAGGAGTAATATCTTTATTTTTCTTTCGCCGATAACTGCGAACAGGAATGTAACAAGAACAGTGGGAGGCGGCATACCGATCATGAATCCTCTGTCGACTGAATTTAGACCCTGGCTAAAGAAAAGTACTGATAGCAACAGCAATAAACATGGTCACAACGCACCTCTTCTTGGCCTACCGCGAGATGTCGCCTTTGCCGAGCCGTTACTTGGCAACACAAGTCACATGACGGCTCCCATTTCGATCCCAAACGCTGCTACCAGACTTGGCTTTCCAGCCAACAATTATATAAGCCAAATTGCAAATACCGACAGCTTTAGGGGTCAAGGAATTAGTCACATAGGATTCATCCCATCCCATGATGGCTTTGGGTACCAGATGCACAGTGTTTCAAATAATGACAAAGTCAGCTTTGTCAACGACACTCAAGAGTTCTTTCGCAATTCGGAAACCAAAGCCGGGATCGAACCGCCTTCAAGCCCTTGGCATGATGATCTCTGCAACAAACCTGGAATACTTCGTTCCCAACCAGAACGACCGGTCAACTCTGCCTGTTTACTGACTGAGCAACAAGTGTTCGATAACGTAAAAAAGCAGACCAAACTTGATTTTACCCCTCAACAAGAACCCGATCAGACACTGACGACTGCAGATTATCCATGTACAATTTCGGATGCTGGTAAATCTGTTCTCGTGAATAAAACCCTGGCATCTTTCAGTTCCCCATCGCCTTGGACTTGGGGTCAGCACGACCGAATAGTGGTCAAGTCTAGTGCCAATGAGGCACAAGTTACAACCGAAAACTGGATGCCTGTCAAAAGAGCTATAAATCAACCGTCACCCAGTAGTAATTTATTAAATCTAATAGATGAAAACAATGAGGAGGAGAAGAAAGAGGACGAGAAAGAGGCATTTTTCTCTAACATGATAACTGCGACAGCCGAAAATGAACAGTCACGGATTTACAGAGTGATCGTTGATGGAACTCCTTACGATTTGAAATCTGGTATGGTAGCAGATCAGTTTGGAATGTTTTCCTTGCTTTATTTGATAAAGTCTAACAAAAACAACCCCGGTGGTGCTTTGCTTATGGATGGCTTAAGTCGGGACGATTTTCCACTTCATAAAAGCGATCGAATTTTTGACGCTTTCTGCAATCCTTGGTCCAGCATTTCCCGCCGTCCCCAAGATATCGACCGCAACTTACCCAACGAATATTTAACCAACGCCTACATCAAGCAGAAGTTGCCGCCCATCAAATTGTCTCGGTATAACGAAGATCTCTTGTTTTACCTCTTCTATATATACTGCGAGGACACGATCCAAGTTGCTGCTGCTTACGAACTATATCAAAGAGAATGGCGGTATCACAAGACCGAGCAAGTATGGCTAGAACGAATTCCTGGAATCTCACCAGTAACTATCACTGACTCTTGGGAACAAGGGACATATTTCTACTTCGATGTTGTGACTTGGCGAAAACATCCGAAGCAATTTAGAATAGAATACAGTCAGCTAGAAGAGAAACCAATTTTTTTCTCAAATTAATAAGTTAATCTCTTATATTCGCTTCTATATACTTATGTCTATATTTTGATTGCTGTTAAGGTATAAACCCCAATTTATAAGCTAGAAGTCAACATTGTCACGGTATGTTTTACGTTATTTTGAGATTTTTCTGCATGTTAAAACACTTCCTAAATTATGTGGCACAATCTTTAACATTGCTCTGACGTTAAAACTTTTTTGCATTTATAAAGAAATAAAAGAAAAACGAAAGTGCTCAAGTCTAAACTTGTGTTAATCCAAACAATACATAAAATGGAAAATGAAAATAGTGATTGTCTCGCTCGTTGTGTTTAATAAATGGTATCCAAATATAAGAAAATTCTTCCATCTTTTTAAACTAAGATCAGCCGCGGCATGCTTTTTTTTTTTTTCCTTTTCCTCCTATGAAGTCTTACTAGAATTTTGACAACTCAAAGCCTGAATTCACGTATTTTCACGAATCAATAATTTATCAAAAAATACGTGGGAATGTTTTATTTCTTTGGAAAATCGTCTATGCGTAAACTGAGCTGTTAAAAATATGATTTCAAATTTAATAAGCTGGTTTAAAATTTTCACACTATCTTTCGTTAACTGTTACGCGAACAGTTATATAACTAAACATGTTTCCCACTCTATAATTCTATTATACTCCATATTCGATGACTTTTCTCTTCCTAAGTTACTAGTAACATTGTTCTGTTAGTTAATCGTGCCATAGTAAATTTTGGCATATTGACAAGTTTTAAGAAAAAATGCCGAGTAACAATTTAAAAATAAAATTAACAAGTAGAAAGTAAATATAGTAACGTCTATGACAGTCGAAGAAAAGTTTGCAACCCGACCGACTTCCCAAAATTTGACCAAATATACTTCCTGGTCAGACCGAGAATATTTTCAGTACTTGCTTGTGTATGTATGTATATGAATATTCTAAGGTGGTATTGTGCTGTGATTATACTGTTCAAGGGAAATTCGTGCGAATTTTTCTTCGACCGTACTGGAATGGCTCTGTAAACTAAACAATGACTGACACATTTAAGCAGCGTGCCCGAATAAAAATTTTGCGCCAAGCTCTAAAATACCTGCTAGTGAGACCCTTAAAATTCTTACTTACTGTTCATTCCTTTGGTTTAATATGGATTTTTGAATGGTTTCTCATTTCAAGGCTGATCGAGTGTTAGTTCGGAGTAACCAACCACCAGCGAAGCGTCAGAAAGTGTGGAAAAAATCGTTATCTGATACATTTAGACAATCGTCGAATGATGCCCTTGCTCTCTCACGCGATAGAAATCAAGACTGTCAATGAAAATCACACAATCATAGACTGTATTAGATAATCTTTCATGGTGTAAAGAGGCGCGTGGATCACTATACGTTCACAAGGGGTTTATTTTGAAGGTGATATTGACCAAATTTAAATAATATATTAAATATAACATCTACTAGTGCAATACTTTAATTTTATGCTTCCTTCGGGAACATTATAATATCACCCTGTCTATAGGTTCATGTACCTGCTTAATGTACTTAGTATATGAGAGAAAGGAAATACAACACTTATATATCGGTCAGCCTGTGAATGACCATCATGCAAGGTATTGTCGAAGGCGGACGCAAGTGGAGTAGGCAAAGGCAAAACATGGTCAGACGACATCAAATAGTGGATAATGCCGGCACTGGAGGAGGTTGTTTGATTCTTCTGCTTTTAGGTGCCCCCCCCCCACTCCGACGATTGAAGCAGTCAAGCGACTAGTGGTGGTAATTGATATACCAGATAATAGTGGGTAATTGAATGACAAAATAGGGGGAAAAAACCTGTTACGCGTTTCCTCTTTCGAAGACTTCATCAGGCTAACAATTTTTATCGATGGAATCAAGCCGACTCCGTGAGCAAATTGAAAACATTCCGGTCCTGATCTAGACCCGCAATCCTGAAATTTTGGATTCCCAAGTTTTCATTACTGCGATTATTTTCGGCGATGTTTTACGCGATAGTAGTGAAATAGAACAAACAACGGTTACAGTTCTACATCTACTGAAGATGCAAGGACACTTAACTTTAAATTTTAAAGTTTTGGTGCACAACGTATCTAGATGTATAACCTACAAACTTTATTCAGCTTTCAACCGCTTTTGTTTTTATTTTTATCGCTATTGCTTTAAATATCTCACATATTAATAGCAGTAATCTTTTCTTTTAGGAAAAGGCATATGTTGCATGATCATTTAGAGTGGAAAAATGAAATTAGTGTATGCAAGCGAATAAGCAAAGTATTAAGAGACAGAAAAAATCGTCAGAAAGAAAGAAAGGATTACTGAACTGTTATGTAATATCAATCATCCTATATGGCAGTGAATGCTGGACAGTCTCTTCACAGATGAAGAAAAGACTTGAAGCAACAAATGTGGTTCTACAGAAAGATGCTGAGAATAACATAGGCTGAACATGAGAGATACGACATAGTTTTAGAGAAAATTGAAACAAAAATGCACTTATACTTAACATCAGAAAGACAGTTAATGTTTCTAGTGCACATAATGAGGAAAGAGGGTTTGAAAAATTGGATACTCACAAGATAAATTGAAGGCAAGAGGGACAGGGGCAAACAACAGACAACTTACCTAGCGAGCTTGAGTAAATGAATGGCAAAACATGGCTTAGGAGAGATAACAAAAAGACAACATTTATTAAGAGCTACAAAGGATAGAAAATTGTGGAGAACCATGATTGCTAACTTCCTTTAAGAAAAAAAAGCAGCAGCAGCTAAACTGTACGTTAAGTTAGATATTAGATTTTAGCTTACATTAGCGGGTTTTGACTTAACAAAGAAAAACCATGTAAAATAATTTTTTAGCAATAATATATGTTTCCAAAGATTAACTTTAGCACAAAGTTGAAAGAATGAGATTTTCTGCGAGGGTCGAACTTGCCAAGCAAGCGAATGTATTGTAATCCCTCTATGCTAGGCGTTCCGCTTCTAGACAATGTGTAGACTTAAAAAAAAGTGTATATATCTATATAATAAATGCCAATGTCAGTGTGCTAGTGTGTCAGACTTTTTCAATGAAAGGGACACAGCTCTCAATAGCTCATCTTCTTCCAATTTCAGTGTGTCATTGTGCCTCACCTTTTCCGTAGCCCAACATATCATACCATTTTGGAATCAAGCCGACTCTGTGAGCAAATTAAAAACATTCCGGTCCGGATCTGGATCGGCAATCCTGAAATTTTAGATTCCCAAATTTTCATTACTGCGGTTATTTTCGTCGATTTTTTACGTGATTTTTTTGCGACGAATTTTTTTGTACAATAACAATTCTTATAACTTGGAAATAAATTTGGGAATAATCGAAATTAATTGCAAAATCCAGCGAAAGTCACACATGAAATAAAAACAATTGTTTGTAATTAAGGACCTACGTACATCAGATTGTCTTTAAATGACCACAGAAGAATTATCGTTAAACTTTTAAAAGGTAAGCTTATATATTAATGCAATACTTAAATACAGCGATCAATTTTGAGTTCTTCTTTAGTTTATTGTTGCCTATCTCATCTACGCCTCTCTACCTATCAAGAGCCTTCCGCAGGAGCTAGTTTAAATGCCGCTCGATGGCAGCTTTTAAGCTAGTATACATATATATCATATTCTTTTTGCCACGTTGGTCGCCTTTGTCCTCTTATTATATAAATAACCGGTTTATATGAAACTGGAATGAGACCAGTTTACGTTCGATTGGGCTCGCGTGTTGATATAATAATCTAATGAATAAGACACAATCAAGACGCTTTACGCCCTCTCGAGATTGTCTGCATGGAAGTAAGGGAAGATAACACCTTAATGTTGCTTCTTGGATAAAACCCAGAATCAAACGCATTAAACATCATAACCAGAATTGTTGCTATCTTCACTAAGAATATAAATTAATTCACCTCAAATTTTGCTGTTTTTTTCATTTTATTTTCACTTATAAAAAAAAACAAACTTTTAATCTAGACGAGTAGTTTCTATACGTTTTCTATCTATCACCCCTCGCCCTCTTGAATCTCAGGTCACGAGTGTCCTCAGAATAGAATATTTTTTTAGCTGCCCGACCATTGGCTTCTAAACTACATCCCTAGCACCCCACACCCTTATGAAGACAGTTCTTTCTTGGTATTAGTTATCTTGTTTTTGGTTTGTTTGTTTGTTTTTTTTTTGAGTGGCATTAATTTTGAAAAGCCAAAGCTTGTTTTGTTCAAGAACAAAGTTCTTTAAATTAATATCCATAAGTTCTTGCGTTGTAGTAACTCAATTTACTTATCAATCCTGCGTTGGTGTCATTAATAAGGCTGCCTTTTTCTGGTAATTCTGTAAAGTTTCTTTGTTTTTTTTTTTATTTTCTAGATGATCTTGGCTTACGGCCATATCACGTTGAAACACCGGTTCTCGTTCGATCACTGATGTTAAACAACGTCGAGCCTAGTCAGTACCTAAATGGATGACCGCTTGGGAATATTAGGTGCTGTAAGACTGGATATGCAGATAATGTAATGGGTAATAATTCGGAATTGAAAGTCGGATAGACGAGTTTCAATTTCAGTTGGGTTCGTTATATTCACTTATACGCAAATACCCTTGGGAAAGGCATGAATCCACAACTTATCTCCCCAGCTATGGGCTAATTAGCAGGATTTGTGTCAGTAAATTATTATTATTATCTCCAAAATTATTCTTACAGTCTAAAAATCTTTTCTGGCTTCAAATAACCAGTAAAGTGTTGACAAGCTGTAGAAAACAAATCAAACTAGATTATCTTCTCTTTATCTATAGTGCAGCGATTCTACGCATATATTCGATTAAAAAGTGGTAAAAAGAATTGGATTTCCATAAAACAAGTGAATTTTAGGGTGTGCAGATGGTTAGAGCTTCGGAACGAGAAATCGATGAGTCTAGTTCGAATTCAGAGACCGTTATATTCACTTTAGCGCAAATATCCTTGATGGTATGAATCCA